CTTTCACATGAACAACCAATAGCAGGAGTTGATAGACTGAGATTTTTCACAGATGTGTTTTGTTTGGCCTACCCAGTGTTAAAAATGTTTTTGCATTAATTGTGCTCACAGAGATTCCACATTTTAAAAATTCAGACGCCAGATTTCTGGCTTCTATTGAAAATTTGCAAGATTGTGCAACACTAGGTCACATTCCCACATAGCAGCGATAGACTGAAGCTGCGCAGTCACTACTGGCTGGAGACAGTGTCTGTGTCTTCATATTTGATAGTTGTCCACTCAGGTCCTATTTGAGCTTGTAACCCTGAAAAGGTCATTTTTCGTTTTCTTTTTTTAAGAGATAGGATTTCACTATGTTGCCCAGGCTGGCCTTGAACTCCTGGGCTTTACAATTCTCCTGCCTCAGCCTCCTGAGATTACAGGTGCACATCACACACCAGACACCTGGCATCTTTTCCTTTTTATGTTTCATTTTTGTTATAACTTTTTGTTTTGAAACGGTTTAAGACTCACAAGAAGTTGCAATAAGAATACTGACAGTTCCCATGTACCTTTCATCTAGGTACCAGTCTTTTAGGTTTTACCTCTATGCTCTCTCTTATTATATCCACCTATTTTTTTCAGGCTCCTTGCCAACAACCAAATCAAAGGCTTTTCCCTTTTCCACAGACTATGCAATAGCCTAATTGGTCTCCTTACCTCTCTCCTCTCCTTTCTCCAAGTTACCCAACAGACTACAAGGGACATCTTCCTGAAAAGAACAGCTTGCTCTTCTGCTCTTAACTTTCAGTGACTCTCTTCATTGCCTGTCCACTTCAGTTACATTTTCTACTGTAACATTCAAAGCCCTCCCCAGTTTGGCTCCAGACTTTTGGATTTCATGGACTAGTAAAATTTCATAACAAAATCCAGGCACAAGCATACAGTTGCTATCTTTCTCTTTTGCTAAGTAAAGTCAATAGAAAAAAAAAATCTCACTGGGCACAGTGGTTCATGCCTGTAATCTCAGCACTTTGGAAGGTCCAGGTAGGAGGATTGCTTGAGCCCAGGAGTTTGTGATCAGTCTAGGTAGCATAGTGAGACCTCAACTCTACAAAAAATTTAGCCAGGTGTGGTGGTGCACACCTGTAGTCCCAGCTACTGGGAGGCTGAGGCAGAAAGATTGCCTGAGTCCAGCAGTTAGAGGCTGCAGTGAGCCATGATCATGCCACTATACTCCAGCCTGGGCAACATAGTGAGACCTCATCTCAAAAAAAAAAATTTTCACCATTGACAAATACTATCGTCCTTTGTAAAAGGACATTTTGGTATTAAAAAATAAAGTAGGAGACTAAAAATCTCAGACTACAAGTATGCTGTACTTAACTTTTTTTAAAGGCATGGACTGGTGAAAACTTCACCTGGATCAGCACTGATCAGCAGCTGAACTACAAATGTTCACGTAGGCCAGTGGTTCAGGCAAAATAGACAATTCAGCTCTCTGGAATACATTTATGCTTTTCTGCCTCCAAGTCTGTTCCATACACTTAAAATGCTATCCCAGCCATTTGGCCCCCTCTTTTCCAGTGTGTATCCCATCAATTCGTTAAGGCCCACCTCAAATGCCATCTTGTCCATGAACCTTTCCCGTATACCTCACCAATCCCACTGTAATTTTTCCTTCTCATCTTTGAATTTCCCTAGCACTTTCTTTACCTCTCTAAGCACTTACTTATCTTACTCTACCATACATTTAAGTCTTTTGAAGTATTCATCTTCTTTTTAAATTAAAAGCTTATTGAGAGTCGAGATAGATCTTTGAAGCATGGTAATTTGCATTAACTCAGTATTTTATGAATGAGAGGATAGACAGATGATTCTAATTTTTACTTCCTTTCCCAGACATTTTCCCTATGAGAACAGGAATATCTCAAACTGAGTTGTGTTACTTCTAACTTGGAAAAAGTGAAGGTAAGATAACTGAAGAGATGTTCATTGTCACATCAATTGATCAGTAAGTAGTCCTGCCTAAACTACAATAGATTCATGTCAGTTATATTCCCAAAGCAATCAGTTTTCATGACCACAATTCTTTCAGGTTTGTAAGAGTTCAATAAGCTAGATGGTAAGCAAACTTTTTCTGCAAAGGGCCATACAGTAGATTCTTTAGGCTTTGTGGGATATATGATCTTTGTTGCAACTACCCAATTCTGCAATTGTAGTAGGAAAGTAGCCACAGAAAATAAGTAAACAAATGGGCCCGATTCTGTTGCAATAAAATTTTATTTATAAAACAAAGCAGCTGGCTGAATCTGACACTTGGGCAGTAGTTTGCTTTTCAAATAGAATTGAGACAGAATCAGTTTAAATGCAGGGTCAGCTAGAGGTTTTAAAGGGGAAAACTCTGATCGGAATCCAAGGACCTAATCTCTAATCCTTTTAATAATGGACAGAGAAAGAGAAGAAACATACTACCTTCAAATGTAATTACTGACACTAGTAAAAAAGTCAGCAACTATGAGGATAAAAGTATAAAGAACCAAGAGGTTCAAAACTTCTGACACTGGTATTTTTATTAATACAAGATATATGCAAAGCAGTGCAGAAACTTCTGAAAAAGAGTAATACTATATTCAAGAGTTGACATTTAAGGAACAAATTTAAGGAATGTACTTATATTAAAGAGTCGACATTTAATGAACAAGTTTAAGGAATTTAACTCTGAAAATGTTGGTGCAAGAGAGACTCTACATACAGGAAACATCATGTAAAATTAGAAAATTACTTGAGAGGTGCAACAATATTTAAAGCAAGCTGTAAAGAGAATGCTTTACTGCCAGGTGTAGTTGAGAAAGAGGCAGGACAAAAAGTATTAGAGGCTCAGGGAAGGGAAAGTGAGAAAGTGAGCACATGCAACTGAAAAGAACTGAGGTAAAAATTAATTCAACTAAGGTCCAGTGTAATCCTAACTTCTCTGATCACACCCCAAGCTTACTATAATAGCACAAAATATGCCCTCAGATCATTTGGGCAAGTTCCCTGACTTCAGGCATGTCACATTTCACTCCTTTGCTACTTCTTTTTGTTGGACTGGAGTCCCTGGACTTGGGACAGTGCAGTTTCTATATCTCTAACTCTTACTAGATAAATATGTTAGTAACTCTCATCTTTCTGTACAAATTTCATTTCATGCATCAGGATCTCAAGCTATAGAATTCAACACTAACTATAAAATGATTTTTTTTTAAAAAAAAACTTCAAATCTTTTGCAAAACAAAGTCAGGTATGAAAGGATAACTGAGATCTCTCTGTTTCCAGGACTTTGAGGATTAGAGAAGGGGGTTGGTTCACCCCCTCCCCAGAGTATCTAATACATTAAAGGGGATCCACATACTCCTTCAAGTACACATCCTCTATCATCTATTGCAAACCGGTTCTTCTTTTTTTTGAGTTGGAGTCTCACTCTGTCGCCCAGGCTGGAGTGCAGTGTCACGCTCAAGGACACCCCAGCGTCCACCTGCTGGGATCAGGCGATCCTTCTGCCTCAGTCTTCCAAGTAACCAGAACTATAGGCATGCGCTACCATGCCCAGCTAATTTTTTGATTTTTTTAAAATTATAAAGATGAGGTCTCACCAAGTTGCCCACGCTAGTCTCAAACCCGTGGGCTCAGGCAATCCTCTCACCTCGGCCTCCCAAAGTGCTGGAATTATAGGTTTGAGCCACCACACCTGGTCTGGTTATTCTTTTTTATAACGCCTTCCAATCAAACCAACATTCTCCCACTGCTCTCTTCTAGTAGCAGAGTGGGTCCCATAAGAATTCTTTAATTTCCACAACAGAATTAGAGCAAAGTCTGGAGTCTGTAAAATTTTCTTGTTTTTAGCACAACATACAGAGGCTCCCATCTTTTTCTTCATTTTTGGGGGGATGTATTTTTAAAAAGTAATTTTGGGGGTCAATCTTAGTTTACTTTTCATTTTGTGACAATATATTCTCCCCCACCTCAAATGACCCAAAAGCTGCATTTGTTTAGAGTTAATCAGCTTAACTGTTGATTAGTAGTGGAGAGAACCCTAGTTTAGGGGAAACACAGATTCCTACCACTAGTTCTGCCACTAAACATGTCATTTTTTAGATTTATGGGCTTCAGATTCCTCATATGTTAAACAAGCAGAGTAGATCTGGTCTCTGAGTCCCTTTCTAACAGTCTATGATGTGTGCTACAACTATCAATTAGTATGTCGCCACAAAAGGTAAGGAACAAAGTTAATAACATGTAGTGAATGTATTTTTGCACATTTTAACAATATCTAGAAAACCTTATGATACTGGGATGTGAGATCCAAGATCTCGTTTTAAAACTCTATTTTAAGAAATAATAAGATTTAGTAATGCCAAACCTTTGATTATGTACAGGAAGTACAGTTAACCATCATTTAGTGCGGTGTTTCTCAATCCTTTTTTCATTATCGACTCGCTAAGAAGCCTTTTTGGACATTTTTTCCTCCTCACAAAATCTTAATACCACAGAAATACTGTATATGTTTATGTACTGTATGTATACCTGTGCTTTATACCAAAAAAAGAGTAAAAATTTTCACATTCATCCCCCAAGAACCATTTTTTCTTTTCCCTTAGGGGGAATATCACCAATTGAGGATGTATAATTTAGGAGATCAAGTTTCTATGGTATGCAAACTTTTTGCTCAAATAAAAACTAGGTGTAAAAAAGGTCCAAACTTATTTGCTTGACAACTACTTCCATCTGGAGTGTGCTGGAGGTGAAGGTCAGAAGTGACAAAGCAGTTGAGAGAATGGCAAAAATTAGTCGTAACAGAAGATCTGGAGGCAGGGAGAGGGGGAAGGATACTATGTTTCTTCAAAGAAGTGGGTACGAGATGGAGTGAAGTTAGAAAAAAGTCGTGCTCTACACCAAACGGTTGCTGCTTTCGGGTCCGGGTGGACTGTCAGGAGAGTACATTCAGGTTCAGATGTGTGTCAATCCCAGGGTGGGTGCGCTGTCCCTGAGGTCAGCCCGCCCCACTCCTCCCATCCCAAGGCTGAAGGTGGGATCTCTGGACACCAGGAACAAGGGAGACACTTGCTGAACCTTGATAAATATAGGGATGGGAATCCTATCAAAAGTCACTTCTTCAACACTTCTCCCCCACCCACTTGCCTCCTCCAGTACCTCCACCCTGCTCACCCAAGTCCATTGATCAATGGGTCGCTGGTGGATCCTTTCAGGATGTTGCCATCTGTGATGGTGGAACCCGGCAGCAGCTCTAAATCAAGTTCCATGTTCTCTTGTGCCATGTCCGTGTCAGGGAAGAGGTCACTGCTCAGTTCAGAATTCTCGAGGCTTTCTGGCTCCCGTTCACACAAGGACAAGTCGACTTGGTGGGGGAGATGATGTAAGGAGAGAGGCAAAGGGAAAAAAGAGAATAGAGGAGAAAGCTCTTAGACGAGTGTGGGTGCTCACTTTTGCAGCCCTGGCATTTCTAACATCAGTGGACACAAAGTTGGGCAGGACTGACTCCGAACCTCCCAGCCCCCATGCTCGGGCCTCCTAACGATGAGAAGGTCCCCCACCTCCAAGCCTATAATGAAACGGGGAACTTAATCTGTCTGCCGCGAAACCTCCTCCTTCGTCTCTCTCAGCCTTGGCAACCCCAGGTAAGCCTTTCTGGCCAAAACAGAAACTGCCACCTGCCGCCTTTGCGAGTTCGTTGGGCCCCGCCCTCCTGCGCATGCGCCCCCGTAACCAGACCGATGAAACATGCTTCCTACGCAAACAATCAACGTCATTCCAGGCGCCTTTGTCAACCTTGCCAAGAGCGCACGCGTAGTCAGGGAGCCCGAGCCCCACCCCCACCCCCTCACCTTCCCACCCCCATGAACCACCCTCCCTTCTTTCCCTCGTGCCTGCTCATCGTAGTTGTCCCTCTACACTTTTGCTACCCTGGCATGGTTTCCTTAAGCATGATTTAGGAGAGAATGGGTTGGAAGGTGTGAGGTGTATGGGAGTGCCGTCCTTTCTGGCCTATGCCTGATTTGTTTTCTCAGTTTTGGCTGGCCCATCATCCTCTTATGACTGAGGCCAGCAAGGTCCTTACCTCCCGCGACGGATTTTTCCATCCTGTAATAGCAGACACATTACATCTTTGTAAGTTTAGAAAAGCTAAAGTCTGAAAGAAAGAAAGAAACCACTCCTGAGGACTTAAAGGCGTGCTCCAAAAGGGTCTTGGTTAGGCACTAACTTAATTGAACCAATTTTGCAGATGTGGTTTCATTTTTTTAAAACCATATAGCACAGTGTGTATTATACACTATAAAATCTGGCTTCTCATAGACTTTATATATATGCCAAAGTCCTCAGCTAATTTAGAAATATTTAAGTTAAAGCAGTGAGGCTTATTTTCTTAAAACATATTTGGAATTCAGTATCCATACAAATCACTTTCCACTTCAGGTGGTATCAGAAGCTATATACATTCTAACAATGCTGCCATGGCTTATAACATTTTAAGAACTGCTCTTTTAGAATTTTTCACCAGCAGTTAATGAGCCACATTGAGTACTGAAAGCTTAACTCCATACTAATAATTTTGTAAACCACACAGGAACTATATAGATAAATTGGCAGAGAAGGCAAATAAATCTAGTGAAATAGGAGTTATTAATTAAAAAATGTCACAACACTGGATTAGCACTTAGCAGTTTACAAAATGTTTTCACATACTTATCTCAATTGGTTCAATCATTAGCCCTGCTCATCTAATCAGTGGTGAACTTAAAATAATGAGATTGTTTTGAGATAGTTTGTGGCAAGTTATGACATATAAGATCATAATCATTTATTCTTCGTTTATTCTGGGAATATAATAAGACAAACTTGATTATATTAAGCAGAATTAGATTACCTGAATCCCAGACATGAGGATGATTTGGAGTCTCCATTTCTGATATAAGACAGGTTAATAATAGCTATCATTTATTGGGCACTTTATGTGCCTGGTACCGTCCTAATCACTTTAAATATGTGATCCCATTTAATGTTTACAATTATGCTGTGAGGTAGGCACCCTCACAATGCCCATTTTTCAGAGGCAGAAACCAGAGCCCAGAGGTGTTACTCAAATTACAACTACTAAGTGGCAAAACCAAGAGTTCTCTGCCTTTTTGTTTAAGTAAAAAGAAAAGGTGCCTCAGAATATTTCCCTGGACACTATTTCTCAACTTATAAGCACTAGCTAAAAACGTATTGAATTATCTTGTGCATTAATGCAGGTTTAAATAACCCGTCTTTCATAGCTATCTTGTAAAATAGGGAAATCATTTCTGCTTTTCAGTTGATAAAATTCTAAAGAGATTAATAGCACATAATTAGGTAGCAGCAGAATCCAGCCTAGTGCCAAGTCCTCCTGAAAGCCACTGTTAAAATTCTCAGGGTACCTGGAAAGTTTACAAAAAAAATGATGGCTAAAGTTAAGTCAATTCAGACTGAATTCAGAAGGCGGTGGTTAAAGACATAAAAGAGGGTCAAAACAAAACTGTCTGAATATGCAAAAAAAAAGAGTATATCAGTGAACAAATGGAACTTATCACCATTCTAATGCTCATTTTACTTTTAGATAATAAAGGTTTAGGTAATTCAGGTAATAAAGTTTAATAAATATATTTTGGATGAATAGACAATATCCCATCCTGCCTAAGCATTACAGATATATAATTTTTAAATATCGAAGTACAATAGTAGTGTTATGAAAGAGGAGGAAATCTCCTTAACTGGAAAACAGATACATGACAGGAACCCAGAACTTGTAAAGATATAGATAGGACTCATAGTACATACACAGGTTAGAATATCAAAAGGAAGCCGGGCTCGGTGGCTCAGTCTGTAATCCCACGCCTTTGGGAGGCTGAGGTGAGTGGATTGCCTGAGCCCGCGGGTTCGAGACCCACCTGGGCAGCGAGACCTCATCTCTACAATAAATCAAAAAATCAGCCGGGCGTGGTAGCGCATGCCTGTAATTCCAGCTATTTGGAAGGCTGAGGCGGAAGGATCACCGAAGCCCAGCAGGTCGAGGCTGCGGTGGCTGGGAGTGGCCACTGCACTCCAGTCTGGGCGACAGAGTGAGACTCCAACTCAAAAAAAAAAAGAATATCAAAAGGAACGAGTACTACAAAAACAACAAGAATTCTATATGCTACAATGGCAAACACAATATTTAAATAAATTAATTTTACTTCTCCCCATTTCTACCTACAAGTTATTATACCAACCTGGCTGTGTTTCATGATCAGTATTTTGGGTTCCACAGGAATATGCCATGATCTTGGAGTATTGGTTTGCTTAGAACTATACCTTGACACGTAAATGCTACTTCTCTCTATATAGCCCAGTCTGCTGCCATCTGTCCCAGGCCTCTAACCTATAAAGGGTGTCCTGCAAACATGTCATAATCCACTCTTTATTTTGCCAGTTGTCATGACAACTTTTAAGCTACATTTTAATCTTTAGTTACCACAATTGCAGGCCTACAAACCCCAAACACCCCAAACCCTCCCAAAAGATTTACACAAAAGGTAAAAGAAACTAGGTAGGCAAAAATGATGTGAATTAAACCTAGAAATGATGGTCAATGTAGCACCCCTCTTCTCACATATCCTTAAGCTACCTCTAAATTGTTAAGTTCCTGAAAGTTGGGGATTTTACTACACTGTGACTCCTCAGAGTTGGGGTCAACAAACGATTGTTTAGTAAGGTATTGTGAACAAAATAATATATTGTAATTTCACATACACGATGGAATATTACACAGCCATAAAGAAGGACAAAATTATGATTTTCACAGAAACTTGGGTGGACTTAGTGTCTATAATACTGAGTGATCTATCACAGAACATGTAGTATTACACGTTCTCACTTATAAGTGGACCTTGAACAATTATCATAATACTATAAGGAAAGGATTGGCGGTAGTGGGAAACCTCTGGGGTGTGAGAGGGCCAGAACTGGCAGTAGTGAGAATCTGCCTGGGAGAACCCACCTCATCAACAAGGGTACCTGCATAATGAACATTTGTATACCAAACCCTGGATTGTACTCCACATCTTTAAAATTAAATATTAAAAAAATTTTATATATATATTATATATAATATATTGTATATAATATATATAATATATTATATATAAATTATATATAATATATATATAGTAATTTTTTGAGTGGGGAGGGAGGGTGGACGCAGGGGGTTGCTGAGACCTTGAGATGAAAAGTAATACATAAATTGCTCAAAAACAGAAGTTGCTGTTTCTGATCTAACAAACGGAAAAATACAGGCAATTTAAAGGAAACCATTCAAAAGTGTTTTAAAACTCCTCATACTACAAACAGCATAACATTGAAGAATAAAACAGTGATTGGGCTTGGCAAGTTTAATATGAGACAACTAAATTGAATATGTAGGCCAAATTATTATTTTTGTTACATTTTGAAACCAGTGTCATAACTATTACGTTTCAAGGCAATGGCGTTCTCGCCCCAGAGCTATTCCAGAAGTAAGGATTAAAAGTTAATATTTTTAAAACTCTTAGAATAATAGTGCCTAGCACTTAATAAGTGCCATGTAGGTGTTTGCTGAAAAAATAATAATTCCAAGTCACACACTCCCAGTCATGTAAATCCTAAAGACAAACAAAAACAAAACTTTTGAGGGGTTCTGCTACTTGTTCTTCAGGATTTTTCCTAATATTGTCAAAGCTAACGGTGCTTACAAAATGGAGATGAATTTTTTCTCACTAGCTATATGAACTCTCATGAGATTCGCTTTATTTTTACTCCATTGCTTTTGTGTTTTTTCTACTTCCCTTTTGTCTAGTGCATCCAAATGGATGATCTGAAAAAGAAATCAGCCCCTCCAGACAAAGACCCACAAAATCGAGGAATTTAATAAATGAGTGGAGATCACAGAGGTCAGGGCATACAAACTGACAGTGAATTAATGTAGAAATCCCATGCTTCTCTCATTTTCCCATGCATATTGGCCCAAACTCCTCTTGAAAGCTGATGTTCCTGCATCTCCAAACTATTGGTTCTTTTCGAAATCAGGCGCCAGGGTCCCCGGGCCAATGCCATCCAGGAAGCCGCCAGGCCCCCTGGAAACGCTCCACCCCTTTGGGGGCGGGCTGTGGGGCGGGGCTCCCACGCATGCTCCGTGCCCGCGGGCCCATTGGAGCGGCCGCCGGGCGCGTGCGCAGGACCCGATGGGTGCCCGGACGCGGAAGAACTGGCCCCGCGGAGGCTCCCGCTTCTGAAGCGTGGGAGGCGGAAGAGACTGCAGGTTGTAGATTTTGGTCTTGGCCCCAACGGGTTCCCCCGGACCATTAGAACCCAAGAGAGGAAGAGGAGGCACCGCGGCGGCGGCTGAGAGGCCGAACCCCCCCCACCTGTTCTCGAGGCGGGAGGGGGGCAGGGAGGGGAGAAGCACCGATCCCAGGGCTGAGGAGCCTCCGGGACCGGGTCCCGGAGCATGGGGGGCTGGACCGGGTCCCCAAGCATGGGGAGCTGGAGCCGCCGAGGCCGCCCAGCCGGGTTCTGCCCGACTGTCAGGTCCTCGGGGCTAGCGCTGCCCGGGCAGTCGCGACATCTGTAGCCGGGCCCCGTTTGGGGTCTTCGGCCAGAGAGATAGCAGCATGAGTTCCGCCGCTGCCTAGTTTCCTCCCCCTCCTTCTCTTCTCCCTCTGTCCTTTTTTTCTCTTTCCTCTTTCCTCTTTCTTCTTCCCCATACTTCATCCTTCTTCTTTCCCACCCCTGTGCTCCTCATTCCCCTACCCTCCTTTCTCCCCTGTGGTCCTCCTCCTTTCCCCCTTCTTCCTCTTCCCTTCCCCCATCTGCCCCTCCTCTTCTTATCCTCTCTGTCCTGCTTTTCCATCTACACTTTTCCCTCCTCACTCCATCCTTGTCTTCCCTCCATCCTCTTCCTTCATTCTGTCAGCCTCCACCACTCCTTTTCTTCCTCATCAGCATCCTCCTTCCCTCCTCCTCTTCTCCTACTTTTCTCCGCCCCTAGCCCCCGCCCCCAAGCCTCCGCCCCTTAGCCCCCGCCCCCAGCTGCCAGTCCCCAGCAGCTCAGTCCTGCAGTGAGAGTCTTGGGAGTCCATAGCTAAGCACCAGGAGCTGAGCACTGCCCGCTGTGCCTGCCTGAAAGTCTCAACATGGCTCAGGAGAAAATGGAGTTGGACTTTGCGCCTGACACATCCGATGGGAGAACCCTGAGGAGATCCAGCAGCGCTCCCCTGATCCGTGGGCTCAGGTGAGCAGGGTTGAGGAGGATGGAGTACTGGGCTCAGGGGTTCCTTGACACCGTGCCGCAGTCTTCCTTCCCTAAAGTGCAAATGTGAGCTCATTTGGGCTCTCCAAACTGAGGGGGTGGGGACTAGTTTGCTTGACATGACTTGGGTCCCAAGGTGGAGTGAAAGTTTGATCCCAAACTCTGGTCAGTGTAGGGGAAGCGGGGCTTCTTCTACCTGGGATCGTGCTGTCCCACTCTAAAAGGAACTGCAGAAAGCTTCTGGCTATTCTGACAGGTTGCTTGCCCTGCCTAGTTTACACCACGGAATGTCAGACTGAAGCCCCTGGAACTAGCCTTGCAACTTGACACCTGTCTCTAAGAGCTGCTATTTCTAAGCTTAGTTTAGGAACCCTGGCATTAACAGAGGTTTACTTTTATAAATCACAATTTATCTAATAACTTGTAATTAAATGGTGTGTTCACGTCAGAGTAAGTGATTCAGATTTGTTCTAATGTTTTCAGATTCTAAAACTGCCTCAAATGCATTTCGGTGAATAAAAAAGAGTGGTCTGTAGCTTAGATCAGTGAAAACGAGGTTTTAGAAAACAATGGAGAGAATTGACCTTTGAATTTTAGTGGCAGAGTCTTGTGTTTTCATGTGAATAAGTCACACGAGGGTCTATTTTAAGGTAGAATCTTGTGATGGTGAAGGTTAGATTGTTTCACCTTCTGAGCCTATTGCATTTCACTTTTGTGAGTAGACAATTCATCTTAGGTAGAGAGCCAATTTAGGAGACCCTGTATAAATGGCATTAGTCCAAAAAAAGGGGATGGGAGTAGAATTAGCCAAAAATATGTTAATCAAGCATAGTGAAGGCAAAGAAAGAGGTAATCCTTGTCTGTTGAACTGACTATAACATTTTTATTTTGAGGAAAAAGCAGGCTTACTTTTTTCTTATGTTAAGTGAAATTTTGAAACTGAGGGAATGATGGAGTGATTTTTTTGCTTTCCTGTTGATGTCCTTGGCTCTTGCATTTATTTTTGAAACTGTAAGAATAAACTAGTCTTTCTGATTGTCTTTTAAAATCAGGTAAGCAAGCATCTGCTAGGGACTTGGGCAATTCTGTTGACCTGCAATCAGACTACTATAGAAAAACATACTGTTTTTTGAATCATGATTTAAGTAATTACTGGAAAGGTAGTGTGATGTGGTGGAAGAAAGGGTAAAGTGACCAGAACTGGTCCCAATTTTAACTAATTAGCTATGAACATAATGAGTCATTTAAGTTTTCTGAGTTGCTTTTTTCTCATTTAAAACAAAGAGAGCTGATTTAGGTGATCTTGATGGTCCCTGGAAGCCCAAATTAGTTCAGTTCTGAAAAGCTTTCTTAAAGTCTTATTATGGGCACGACCCTCTGCTAGGCACTGCGAGGATATTATGCAAAGATGAATCAAACACCTCTGTACCGAGGGCTTTAAGATACATGCATACTTCTTTTTACTAAGAGGTAAAGTAGGTGTCCCATGAAACATCTCGTCTCCCCGTGTGGTCTTTGGAGTCAAAGGAGGAATGTATTCCATTAGGTTTGTGGAATAAAGAGAGGTGTGTGCCATGCCTTCATGGAGGGCATTGCATTTGAGTTGGGTGTGGAAGGATTTTGACATGGTGTTAGGAGGGAAGGCATTTGAGGTAGAAGGAGAAGCAGGAGAAAAACCTCAGGTATGTTTATTCAGTTGAACAGTGGGATTCAAAGGTAGGACACATGTTTAAGGCAATAGTGGGATATGTGCTGATTGGGCTCATACTATAGAACAGGGCTCACCAGCCCTGTTCACATCAAGGCACACACGGAAAACAGCAATACTTCTAGTCCCTCTGAGGTAAACAGAGGAGGTTGCTCATGTCTGGTGGTAACCGGTTTGGGGGCGTAGCTCTGACCAGAAGCAGCTAGAGGCAACCAGTCTGGAGCTCCGCCCCACACCTCTCCCAGCTGCCCCTCAACCACTGAGGAGATAAGTATCTTGCAAAGCTGTAATCCACAGCACACCAGTCAGGAAGCTCTGCAGAGAGGACGGTGAGGAGTTCACCCTCTGTATGAAATGAGGATCTATCGAGGACTTCGTTGTTAACTAGAGAATTGGTGCTAATATGTTTGAAAGAGATCTTCCATTAAAAGACATTAATAATTTTGTTTTTATTTTTCAGTGACCTTTCACCGGATTTTCAACCTTACACTTCTAAAACTCGGAGGAATAGTGCAACGATTATGACCCATCACAGCTTGGTAAGTATAGTAGTAAGTATCTGAAGTGACTGTGGATTGAGGAAAATACTTTCAAATGTAGTTCTTTCTTAAGATGATGTACTATGTACAATTGTTCAAAAGGGAAAAGATTTATTTGACTTATCTTGGTTACTGCCATTAAGCTTTTGGTACAAAAAGGAGACCTAATTAAAATTTTCTTTGCTGTTGGACTTTGTATTTTTAAAAATTGTTCATTGCTATTCGTCACTACTTGCATGATGGTTGTGAGGTAAGTCTGAATTAACTTCTAAAATTATAGCTGAGTGGTCTTTATTTGTCCTAGGATGCAAATATCACTTACACGGTAGCAGTGTATTTGTCTCTGATGCTTACCTGTTAGATAGTGCTGTTTTTCCAAAATAGTCTCCTTTAAAATGCTTGCACTTATATTCTCAGAAGAATAGCTGGTCGTGATTGTTTTTTTTACCCAGAGTTGTTGAGGATCACTTTAGTAGTTGATCAAGTTGGGAGAAATAAATTGTGATGAGGTTTTTATATAGTAGCAGTTCACATGTGGAGCTTGCTTATCCAGCTGCTTCAATTCTCTGGAAGACATCTGAGATGTGAGCAAACAGACCTCTAAATGGCTGAACTAGATTTCCATAGTCTGTGTACAAAGGTTCATCAGTTTATTTATAGGAGAGCCTTTCTGACCTCTGAATCATCCAAAATTTATGCACAATTATAATAAGCTTCCAACCCAATAGTGTATGAGGAGCTGCAGATCAGAAGAGGTACATTTGGGTTAAAGGAATACTAATAGCTGCTAGCAAGGGAAGAGGGAAAAACTGAAAAGCAGGCAGAGGTTTTTAAAAAATTAGTTTGTGGCTTAGTATAAGGGCTAAGAGCCTGCTAATAGACCCCAAGGGTGTCACTGGTATAGAATGGTATGATAATTGATGTTCTTAAGGGTCATTAACTTTTTCTTAAATTCTAGTAATACCTGCACTTGTATGGTATTTTACATATTACAATGTACTTTCACGCATTTAATTCTTATAATAACCCCTATGAAGTAGGCAGGGCAAAAGATATTTTTCCCAATTAAAAGAAGCAGCAGCTAAGACTCAGACAATATAAGTGACTTGCTCAGAATCACACAATTAGTAAGTGGCAGAGCTGGGATTAGACTAGAGATCTTCCATTGCCATTCTGTTTGGTATAATCTGTTTAAGAAAGGGAAAAATACAACACACTTTAGAAAGATTTCCAGCTGAAGTGGCTAAAAATACTTGCAGGGAAAAATGTTAGCTATCTGGAGGTTTGATTCACTTCACCTATTTCCCTGGGGATACTGGAAAATATTACTTATTTTTGCTGGATATATGAAAAATGTTTATACGTGTTATACAGCTGTGCTTCTGATAACAGTAGCATAGCAAAGAAGGGAAAATGAATTCACCTCTCTACACTTCACTTACCTCTTTTGTAAGATGTGAAGATTCTTATCAACTCTGATCTAGGCTCATCCCTCACTGCTCCCTGACAAATTCCCTTTGCTCTGGCTGCACTAAAATACCTCCTTTTCTGAAGGGGCCATGGTGATTCACTGCTTTTTGTTGATCCTTACACTGCCGTTCACCCCATCCCCCTCTTCTTCCTAGTTTTCTGGTCCTTGAAAATTCAGTTTAATCCTTATATCTCCTCTGGGCAGGCTTCCACAATTCTCATAATGTTAATTACACTGTATATGTTCTATCACGATATGCTCTATAAATCTTAATACACTTATCTGTTGTCCAAATGAAACGGATGTGCAGTAGTATGATCATCATGGTTCACTAACTGATTTGATAAAAGTGCAGGGAGAAAGAAGACTCCAAGTAACTAAAATATTGTTTCTTGGTGACAAGGGGAATGGTGTTGCCTTTATTAGGAGTAGAGAAATCGAGAGGATTGGTAGTTTGAAAGGGAAGAAGGTGAATTCTTTGAGGACACGTTGGGTTCAAGGTGCCCCTGGCCCCGTGCCATTCTCCAAAGCAATATTCTCAATCTTTTTTAAAAGACTGCCTGCTTCCTGTGTCACCACATTTTACTTTGAATAGATGACCCTTCTCATTTCACAGAGAAGACAGACACCTATCTTGTGTTAAATGTCAGCTTTCTTTGCCTTGGAATGTCTTTACCTTCACTTATGGAATGTCTTTACCTTCACGTATGGCATTTCTCCTCAATGGTTCACATGCTTTTGACTCTCCTGTCGCTTCTTGGTCTGTATCTCCTCTCTGTCTTATGTCTTTGCTGTCTTCCTCACAGGTTCTTTTCTTTCTACCCTCTTTTCCCGACTCATACATCTGATATGAGGAAAACAAACTTTTTTTCCCCTCTCCCATAGGTCTCTGATTCCCTTTTTCTTCCCCTCTCAAAGCTTTTTGAGAGCATAATCTAGACTTCACTGCATCTAATTCCTTACCTCCTTATTTCTGGTCAGTTTGTAATCTCACTACTTCTACCACAACTCCATTGTAAACTAAAACTGTTCTTACAAAAGTCACCAATGCCTACTTGACTGCCAGTGTCAGGGGCCTCATTTCTTATCCCTTTTGGGCTCTTTGCCTTACTTAACCCCGATACATTTCTAGCCAATACATTGCTCTCTTGTTTCTAGTACTAGAAACAACTTTGCTGCTCTCCGTCCTTTCTGTTCTACTTTCCAGTTTTGTCTAAATTGTCAAGTTGTATATTGTGTAGATGTCAGTTTTTGGCCATCATGATGTTGACTTTCCTGATGATTTCACTGCCTCTTGGGTTTTTTTGGTTCCCTGACACATCGTGCTCTATTCCATGTTCTGTTGGAGAGTCTTCCTGCTGTATTTACTTGCATTGTAGCTTAGTGTTTTTTAAGTGATCTTTTAAAAGTCTTTTAAAAGTTCACTGTACACAGGTAGTACATTCATAATAGAAAAACTTTTAAATGGATTTTACTTGTAAAGTTCTTCTCTTTGTAAAGCCTAGGAGAGGAAAAAATAAAAGAAAGAGTGGGTAATGAAGGGATGTCTTTTGAGGTGAAATCATATTCAGTAGGTAACTTAGAAAATTTTACCTGAATTAGCCTTTCCCCCCAAAATATTAGATTACTTTATCACTATTTTATACTGATTATTACATAAGTATTCAAAAAAGTTTTAATAGTATAGGACCTCTTAAACAGGATAATTGTTTTATAGTATTACAAATTCGTTTGCATTTCATTGGGGAATACATAGTAGTTGTTTATATTATGGCTATTAGAACTCTCTAAGTTTTGGTTGTATGAAATTATATCTTACAGTTTGTGGCCATATTGTGGTTACTGTGAAGGAACGTAATTTGGCCCCCAAATCATTTCTGCTTTGTGTTATTTTTAAAAATGATGACCTGAGGGAAAACCTCAGTTATTTTAAAGATATGCCTTTCCATATTGATTTTTCTTTAACTAGTAAGGTTTGTGGTTATAGCATTAGTGCTCACATTTTAGAATGAATTTAGATCATGTAAGCAAAGTCTCCTTATTGTAGTTTTAAGGTGTTTTTTATAAACATTAATTATAGACAGATTATTTATACTGGACGTATTTAGCCTCTCTTCTTCTGTTGGTTCATTGGTAATAAAAATTAATTACATTAGTGTTTTTTCTTTTCCTTCTCATATAGTTCCTTATTTTAGATAAGTGGGGTAATGAATTTTTTTCAAGACCCAGAGTCTTTTTTTTTTCCCTAAATTTACGGAGCTTCACATTCATTTGGGAAAAGTGCTAAAGTCAGTGTCTGTCTAGCGACAGATGGTGCTTTGAGGGGGACACCTGGTATACTTTCTAAAGACTGAATGTACTGACTAGTGCGTTAATGTTCAGTGATTTAAAGAGCTAAATTTCTAAGAAGAATATGAAAAAATTATCTAGGAAGAGGTTGTACACCAGTACTGACAGCAGACTGCTGCTTTGTGATTCAGAAAATAGTAAATGTTTACTTTTTCTTTCCAGTTGCTGTCATCCTCACCTAATCATATTCCTAGTAGCAGACTGCATCAAATCAAAAGGGTAAATTTTACTTACTAGCTCAGCTTGGAAATTTTTTGGATTTTACATCTTTATTTTTATTTTGAAGATTTAGATATTAAAAATGAATCAGGGTGCAACTCTGGCTAATTGGAGACACATTACAATTTTTCTGGAGTGTGCAGATAAAATATAGATGCAGCATGGGTGATAATCTTAGAATGCTAGTTCTGCTTTACTTTGATCATGTCAAATGAGGAAGAAAAGCTTTTTATTTTATTTGAAATAGAAAGCTCTGTAGATAAAAATTATGTTTTTAGCACATGTTTGTCTTTGCAGGAAGGAGGCCTGGATATGATTAGCCGAGAAACTGCACATGAAAGGTTAGTACTTCACAAGAGCAGGGCCTAGCCTGATATATGTCCTGTTTGTAAACCCTGATGGCCTTTCACTTTGTTTGTTTTAGGGAAGTGCAAATGGCAATGCAGATAAGCCAATCATGGGATGAGAGCTTGAGCCTGGTAAAGTTTGCCTATCTGCTTGCTTTTTAATTTTTAGAAACATTTATATTGCTCATTATATTGCTCATGTGACTTCATTAACTTTGTCACATACTTTTGTCCCTTCTGTTTCTAAATTGATACCCACTCTCTAATTTCTGTTTTTCCAGCAGAATATTAGTCTGTACATTTCTACTAGGAAAATGTGGGTGTGATATAGTAGTAAATACGAACTGTGAATTACTGAATATGTTGTAAGGAGATGGCACTTTTTGTTTACAGAGTGATAGTGATTTTGACAAGCCGGAGAAATTATATTCTCCTAAGAGAATTGATTTTACTCCAGTTTCTCCAGCACCTTCACCGACCAGAGGATTTGGAAAGGTAGGATCAATGACAAGATATTAACTCACTTTTACACACTGAACTCTTTACTGTCTAAAACACACATATATACAAATCATCTCACTTTTTTTTTTTGAGTTAGGGTCTCTGTCACCCAGACCAGAGTACAGTGGCACAATCTTGGCTCACCACAGCCTCGACTTTCTGGGCTCAAGTGATCCTTCCACCTCAGCCTTCCGAGTAGCTGGAACTACAGACATGAACCATCATACCTGGCTAATTTTATTTTTTTTGTAGAGACGAGGTCTTGCTATGTTGCCCAGGCTGGTCTTGAACTCCTGGGCTCAAACAATCCTCCTGCCTCAGCCTCCCAAAGTGCTGGGATTATGGGCATGAACCACCATGCTTAGCCATCTCACTTTTAAAGTATCCAGTGACTTGAAGGAAAATCAGTGAAAATCTATGATAGTAATTTGAAAAAAAATATGTGTGTGTGTGTGTGTATATATGTGTGTGTGTGTGTGTGTGTGTGTATATATGTGTGTGTGTGTGTGTGTGTGTGTGTGTGTGTGTGTATACACACACATATATGACACAGAGAGAGCTAAGCAATTCTAAGGATGTTAACCTTTTGAAAACTGGAGCACTAGAACAATTTTAATATGAAATGTTTTTTTCTAGCAGTGCTTTTCATCATTTTTACAGATGTTTGTGAGCAGCAGCGGGTTGCCATCAAGTCCAGCTCCTAGTCCAAGACGATTTTCAAGGTACACAAACTTGAATTTTAAATGTAATTAAAGTGCCACTCATTCCATTTGTCTCTCAAATTAACTTTTTTCTAATATTTAACATTTTCAAGCATACTGCAAATTTGAAAGAATTTCACAGTGAACACCCATATACCACTGCCTATATTCTGCCATTAACATTTTACCAGATTCTTTTTTTTGAGACTTAATGCTGAATTATATGCAGAGAGGACACACACAGGCATGCACACACGATAATATATTCTTTTTAAGGATAAGGGGGAAAATGTTGTAAGAGTTAAAATCCAAATACTTTTTAATAAGGTATCTTTTTCTTTAAACTGTTGTAGGTATTTTGTCTTATGGCATGATATTTTTTAAATGGTTTAAAATACTGTTATTCCAGGTCAAATCATGTGCTGGCATTTCAGTTACACAAGAATTTTCCCATTCCTCCCTGTATGACTGTCAATTTTATTTATTTACTTTTTGGGCTGTGATGCTATTTATGTTACATCTTGGAAGTACTTCACATCATCCTGTTTGTTTATTCATCAAAGCAGGAGGAGTCAGAGTCCAGTCAAGTGCATTAGGCCCAGTGCTCTTGGTCCTGTTAAAAGAAAAGGTATGTAGCAGCATGGTGACTATAGTTAATGATACAATATTGCATATTCGAAATTTGTTAAGAGAGTAGAACTTCAGTGTTCTTGTCACACATACACAAAAGGTAAGTAGGTGAGGTGATAGATGTGTTAACTAACTTGATTGTGGTCATCATTTCACAGTATGTATATACATCAAATCATCATGTTGTATATCTTTAATATATACTATTTTGTTTGTCAGTTCTGTTTACTTCAATAAAGCTAGGGGAAAAAAGAAAAGATATGTGTCACACTTCTTATTATTAAACCTAGCTGAGCTTGAAATGACTGGAATCCCTTTCTGAAATGAGCTCGTGGCATAGCTCTTTTTTTACCTAAAGAAATGTGAAATATTCTACTGATTTTCAATTTTGTAAATTAGTTATTTGATATGTCTGTATTTTTTATGCTTTATAGTTGAATCTTACTCACATATTCATATTATTATATATTCCAAAGACATTGCCTCTCAGTGATCTGAATATAAAAGAGATGCATAGTTGGTAAGCTGCAGAAACATATGCTAATATTATAGCAAATATATCCACAAACTATGCTGTATGCTAAAATATAAGGTGAGATTCACCCCCTTCTTGTCATCAAATTATGCCTTACCAAAGTAAGAATTGCCTTATATTCAAGTCTATAGAGTTTTTGATATAATAGAATATTCTCTTTTTTGTTTGTTTGTTTTTCCTTTTAGAGTCAGAGTCTCCCTCTGTTGCCCAGGCTGGAGTGCAGTCGCGTGATCATGGCTCACTGCAACCTTGACCTCCTGGGCTCAAATGATCCTTCTGCCTCGGCTTCCCAAGTAGCTGGGACTACAGGTGCACCACACCTGGCTAATTTTTGAAAACTTTTTGTGGAGTCAAGGTCTTGCTATGTTGCCCAGGCTGGTCTCGAACTCCTGAGCTCAGACGATCCTTCAGCCTTGGCCTCCCAAAGTGCTGGGATTATGGTTGTGAGCCACTATGCCCATCCAAGTGTTCTCTTAATTACCTCATTTTGAACCACAGAGCAGGAAACTAAAATGGTGTCAATTAATGCTAGTTTTAGATGCTTATAGAGAGCACCTGATTGCTTCTGTTTTTAAAAAGGCAACGACATTTAGCACAGGTGTAGTCATTATTCCTGGGGCTATGACCACATGATTGCAAATGTCAGATGTTATTTTTAAAAAGAATATTAACAATAACTTTTAAAAAGCAATTCAGTAAGTCATTTCTTTGTGCAGGTCACCCATGGAGCCAATAAATAAATCAAGTTTCCTAATGTTAGGGGAATGGATACTTGTGACTTTGGTGAAAACTTGTCTGTCATAGGATCATACACAGATTCAAAAAGTGCTATATTTCAGACAACTTAAATATAGTGTGCTGTGAAACATGGATCCTGATATGGTGACAATATTTGTATTTAATGTCTAAATTTTATTTTTATAAATAGTCTTTTTCCTTCATCTTGCAAGGAGTTATTTATAGTCCTAAGAACTCTCTCCATAGCTATTAAGTGAATGCGACAGTTGGGAATAAAGTTGTTACTATTATTATTAGCTTAAAATTTGTTGCAGGAAGCTGATGGAATTAGTACGGTTGTTTAGTTATATAGCTATTCCAAAATATACCAGCAGATGGAGGGATTCTTTGCTAAAAAGACTAAAGTCTTTTGCTAGTGAGGTGGAGTTGAAAGTCCATCAACAGCTTTTAAAAGCTGTGTATTAAAGCATGGGAAAAAATCAAATAAAAATAGAACTTTTCCTGAATTTAAGTAATTTTCAGAAGAGCTCCAGAGGATAGTATAAACTAATTGATAATATGAAAAATGAATGTTGCATTTGTTCTTGCTTGATCTTTTTTCATAAGAATCGTGTACAATTTTAAGTTCAAAGCTTCTCATTTCCTACTGGGGTACAGAAAGGCCCACGATTTAAATTATCTTTAGCATTTCATTTTCAAGCTCAGCTAGAGAACTTCAAGACCAAGGAGTATGCATGTTTTAAATAAAATCATAGCTTATTTCGAAAGGGACCTTTTTCTGTTTCATTTAGGGTTGTTAGTCTTTGTACTCCTGGTGGCAAAATGTTGACCATTATTCCTATTGGTGCAAAGTTTTTCTGTTATCAGTTCTGAGAAAATCTGTAGGATTGAGTTGAGGTAGTCAGTACAGTACCAGGTTTGTGAATTGAATAATAATTACTTTCCATTACAGATCATGGAAATTCCATCAAACATCTATAATTTATAATCTTTGTTTTCACTAAATAGTCTAAAACAACTTTTTACCTATACACTGTTTACCAGACTCCACCTTTTTTTACCCAGTTGATGTCATCTCAGGAAATGTTTAGATAGCAAAATATATAAAATCAATAGTCTTTGCTAACCATCTAGCATAAAATACTATTCAATGTGAACTTTAGCTATTTGGGAATGCTTTATTTCTACTGTGGTTAATTTTTATTCATTTTGCTTGGTGCCATCAGTGTTCTGTTCTCTTGTTAAAGAACATGAATAGCATGCTACATATAATGAATAAGAAGGTTTTTTTAGGACTACTGACTTTTTGGTTGAGTTTATGTGGAAGCATATTTCTTCTGTGTTAAATAAAGCACATGGGAAAAATAACTTTTAAGTAATGGCTTGAAGAAGTATTATGAGGTTTGGCTAAACAAAGTTCACCCCATTTTAGCACCAAGCCCATATTTGTAAAATTGTGTTTCAGTAGCATCATCTCTTTCTGTTTTAGGTGAAATGGAGACAGAAAGCCAGCCTAAGAGACTCTTCCAGGGCACTACCAATATGCTATCTCCGGATACTGCACAGTTGCCTGATCTCAATTCATGGTAAAAAAAAAAAAAAAAAGGAAAGGAAAGAAATAAAATAAATATTAGAGTATAATCCATTTTAAAAGGGCCACATTGAAAGTATATTGGGATAGTTTAAAATAGTTTCCATTTTTTAATCGATGCTTCCATAGAGGGGAGATCTCCATGAAGGTATAGATAATGTGCAAAAATAGATTATTTGAAAGTCACGAGTACTTCCTTTGGAAGTGTGTTTATCTTTTTGGCACCTTCACTTTCATTCCTAGCTCCTGTTAGCTCAGCCTCTCTTCATAGGAGCTACTGGTGCGGTAGAGCGTCAGGAACTGAATGGTATGAGAAAGATTCTCTGGGTTGCTGTGGGTAATGTACATTGATTGTAGCTGTTCTACCTGCATTTTGTATTAGATCCTTTTGACTTAGTTGAGTATACCAACATTCTCTCAATTATGACTTTCTCTGAATAGTGTTATCTGTTAGTTAATTCTAACTAAGGTTTCATTTTTATAGTAACACTTCCTGATTCTTATGGTCTCGTTTTTTGGGGTTTTTTTAAGACTTACTCATCCTAGTTTAGGTCTTTATCTTAAGGACCTTCAGTGTTTTGTGAGAAAGTTAATTTATTTTCCTATACCTGAAGTTGAGCACTTGAATGCTGATATATATATTGGAAGGAAGGGGGAGGGATAGTAGCAGTGACTAGGTCATATTTTGAAATCTTTCAGTACATTCTGATCAACTCACTGAATACCCACGTACTCAATGTTGTAGCACTTTTTGGAACTTTTTTGTTCCCTGAGTTTTACGGATGAGGGGTTTTTTTTTAAAGCCGATGAGGGCACTCACCTTAAAAATAGCAGGATCATACCCTTTGAGTGGGAGAAGAGTAAAAGCCACATATAAGGTGTACAGATTGATAATTCCTTCTTCCCAAATCTTTTATTTATTGTTTTGTGTAAGATAAGATAGCCTGTACTTCTAGCTGACCAAGGGGTCACAGATTATTTTAGTTTGTTAGACTTGGTCAGTAGTAGTCTAACCTTGGAACAGATACCTTTTAGATTTTTCTAGCTATTTTCAGCCCCATAGTCTCTGTTCCTCTCATCTCTTTCTGTCCTTGGTAGTTCAGCGTGCTAATTTTGGTACAGAGTGCCTTTCCAGGTATGTAGATGATTGCAAAGAGAAAACTTTTGAAGCTTGTCAAGAGGACTAGTGGATGAAATTCTATACTTAGTAGAAACCACATATCACTTTTATGGTAAAGTGTGTTTTAATATAGGCACAGGACTATAAATAGGTTTGCTTACCTAGTTACTAACCAACTGACCAAGTTAAGTAAAAGATATGACAGCATTTTGTCAAGCTGAAAACATACATGGTGAGGTTACTTATTTTTATATTGTCTTCAGCTGACTGTGCATGAGGCTATAAAACAGGTTCACACAAGTAAGTGAGAAAGGAAAGAGAAGGTAGTGTATTTACCAAAGGTCTTCTCTCCTTGTCTAAGATGTTTATTCCTCTGAGCAACACAACATAAGCCATCTATGGTGGTAGCTATTGTGAGACTTCTATTTCTGTTGCCACTGTTCCCCTACTCCATAGACCTGTGACTGGCTAGGAGAGACCTGGGAATGTTGACATTGGTGATGAAGGAAACTTTTGCTACTTAAACATAAAATGTTCTTGCCTCACATATGAGAAATTTGCTTTATTTGTGGCCACTCATAGAGTGCTAACAAACCAATGTGTAGCTCAAATAATCTGGAAAAGAAATCTATTACTAAAAATTTATGAAACTGAGTGTCAAAGATAGTCAAGGAATTCATTAAGCTTTTAAGTAATATTTTTAGTCAGTTTGTAGCATCTGTACTTCTGAGGTTATTAAAGCTTAAAATTGTGCCAAGACTTTGGGGACACCTTATATACTAATGATGCTGACATTTATGTCTAAATTAAGACATCTTATCTTATTTTGTTATTTTTTTTAGTTGAAATCTCACTCTGGCACACAGACTAGAGTGCTGTGGCCCACTCACAGCTACTGCAGCCTTGACCTGGGATATGGTGATCCTTCCCCCCTTGGCCTTCCAAGTAGCAGGAACTATAGTCATGTGCCACCATGCCCGGCTAATTTTTTGATTTATTGTAGAGATGTGGTCCTGCCAAGATTCCCAGGCTGGTCTCGAACTCCTGGGCTCAGTCAGTTCTCTTGCCTCAGGCTCCCAAAGTGCTGAGATTACAGGCATGAGCCACCATGTCCGGCCTAAGAGATTTTAAATGTGAGTTACTCCTTTTATGTAAGACCCGGATCCTACTTTTGCAGAAAAATTTCTTCTATATATATATATATATATAGAAGAATATATATACAGGCATGTGCTACCACACCTGGCTGATTTTTTTATTTATTGTAGAGATGAGGTCTCGCAGCCCAGGTGGGTCTCGAACCCGCGGGCTTAGGCAATCCACTCACCTCAGCCTCCCAAAGGTGCGGGATTACAGGCTGAGCCACCGAGCCCGGCTCTTCTATATTTTTAATTCACTTTTATTAATCAGAATCAGGCATTCATATTCATAGTCTTAGAAATGAGGACAGAGGTAGGAACCAGCTGCATTCTGGTTTCCATTGCCAAGGTTTGCAGTCTATATGATCATAAAACTAAGGAAGAAATTTTTATACTCCCCTTTAGAGAACAGAAAAGGAACAGATCCTTAGTAGATGTTATCTTATCATTTAAATCATTATTGTTTGTTCCCTACTCTACCCCAGGAAGAAAAGGAAAAGATGGGTTTTACAACCTTTAAATTAAAGTTTATATACTGGATAATAATCTTTAAAATCTGACAACTTTGAGGTATGAATTAAATTTGAGATTTGAGTGTGGACCCATTTAGAGTTTGCATCCAGGTAACCATATTTTTTATTTCTAATTTTCTTACTAAGTGAAAATTCTTTGCCAGCCAAATCTGGGAAACATTTGTCCCCCACAGAGGGAGGAATTATGTCATTCTGCATTTAGTCCTCATGAACATCAAGAGTTTGAACATAACTCAGAAGTACATCTTTGAGTACATGGTGCTTGGATTCATTCTATTAGGAAGATGACTCTGTGTCCGCAGCATGCTTCTAAAATAAAGGAGTTTTCAGGGCGGCTGGCCATATAGTGAAGATTAAATGGTAGTCTGGTAGTCTATTTCTCCTATATAAAAGGAAAACTTCTCCCATGAATTTTCCTGCCTAGAGCATCAGTGTTGATGTGATGGTTTTAACATTTTTCATTAGATTGGTCTTAGTGGATTGAACTTTTTTTTTTTTTTTGAGTTGGAGTCTTACTCCATCGCCCAGGCTGGAGTGGAGTGGCACACTCACGGCCACCCCAGCATCGACCTGCTGGGCTCAGGCAATCCTTCTGCCTCAGCCTTCCAAGTAGCCAGAACTACAGGTGCACAGTATTACACCCAGCTAATTTTTTGATTTATGGTAGAGATAAGGTTTTGCTAAGTTGCCGTTCTTGAACCTGTAGGCTCAGGCAATCCCCTCACCTCGGCCTCCCAAAGTGCAGGGATTACAGGCTTGAGCCACCATGCCCAGCCTTGTTATTTTTAATGTTATATACATCATGGCAAAAAAATTTCATCATGTGTGACAGGTACAAAAAATAAGTTTTAATTATTTATTTAATAATGGAATCATGTATATATTCTTTAGAGATATTTATGTGAGTAGCTTATCCATCTGTGCTAATACTTTAAAGCTTGTGTCCCCAGCATGACTGGAAATATTTAAATATATGTCTTAAAAACTTAGAGGTTATTCAGAAAGAATACTGGGCCCTCCTAAGACAAGATAGTAGAGATCAGAGAACATACCATCTATATCAGTTTAACCCACAACAAGGGATATGGGGATGCACCATTGTCATATGTTATACCAAAATCTGCGCTAGGCTTGATAAGAGTTGTGGCTAATTTCTGGCGCATTTACCTGCCTGCCATTAATCTAATAGAATCCAGCTTACCCACTGGACAGACAAGACACAAATTGGCTTAACCGAATGGGGTGATAGCATGAGTCACACCGGACATTCTGGTTTTATTGTTACTTTATCATTGGACTGTTTTAATTATTCATTCATACCTCACTCTTAATTTTTCTAGATGGAGGGCACTACTTTAACAGTCATAAATACTTTCAGTTGTGTGGTTCAAACATTGCCTCAATATGTATATTCAGTGGCTGGAATGAATTAGTCCAGTTTTGATTCAGACACCCCTGTGTCCCATTTGAATTGTCTAGTCCTTTTCTACTATTGTCTGGCTTTCGGTCATTAGTCTAAGTAAGGCTCATTAGTACCTCTGCCAGAGCTTAAGCTAGGAAAAGAAGAAGAGAGAAACTCAAATTGGACCAGACTTTGTTGCTTTTAGAGACTCTAGTGGAAGATTTAATAGTGGACACTGAAAATGGCTTTTGTACAGTGATCTCAGTGTGGATTAAAAAATCACTTAAGTCTTGCTTGACGTGGATAGAATAACAATGGGTGATTTGTGACCTGTGTCTCTGCTTCCATGACCATGTGTAGTCGTGCCAGATTAATTCAAACAGAAACTAGGTTTTAGTTTAATGAAAATGTCTGGTTAAAGGTTTACAAAGTTCTGAATCTAAATTGCAGTGGAGACTACATGTAAGTAGACTATTTTTCTGTTAATGAACAAAATTCATTTATATTTTAATAATAGAGAAGAAATTCTGAAATGAGATGTAAGTTTTTCTAATTTTCTTGGTAACTTCTTAGCTTATTTCTTATTAGCTTATTTCTCTTAAGGTAACCAACAGTGTTAGAAGACAGTTTCACTGCACCAGTCTAGCTTAGTGTTTTTGCATGAATACAAGATTCACCCAAGCAGGCAGGTCTTATTACAAATGGAATCTTTTAACCCAGGGCTCACCAAAAGTCTAGTGATTGGAATAAGGAATTCTTTATTTATATTCAGATTATCTACTTGGTGGCCAAATTTTAATCTAAGCCTCTTTCTTCCTGCCAAGTAGCATAGAGCGTGTCCTTCAGCTGCCTGGCCAGTATGTGCTTTAGGAAAGTAAATTCATTTTAATATTAGTCTAGGCAAAAATCACATTTTGCTGCAGGAGGAAAAATCACATATGTTCCAAAGGCAAATAGAAAGGTCTTTTGATTTTCCAATGTCTTGGATTATCTGTGCAATTTTCTTTCAGTAGTTTGAATAATTCATATTTTAGACCCATTTTGCCATTTGGTTGAGAAAATATCAGAGCCAGCTAAATTTTCCAAACTTATTACTTAAAAGTGGTATTATTAATGATGCATTTGACAGCAGTGAGCATAGAGTAGAAGTAGTGTGGAATATACTGTTTCCATTTTTATTTTTACTTTTCCGAAGCCTATTTGTAGTCTGTCTCCACTTAAAAACAATCCACAGGCAATAGAACAAAATGACATTTTGAAGAAAAGTAGAAGAGTAGAGAAGCTGGGGTATGGGGGATATATTTCATTGAGGGTTATATAGGGTCCAGAAACTTCCAAATGTACTCTGGGCTACTTTTAACACTGGAAATACATTAACTTGGAAATTCATAAAAATAATATTAAAGACTCATAATAGTTAGACTCAGAGCATGTTAGACCAGAATGAACTTTTGCAAATGAGTTAGTGACCAAACTTAATCTAAAATGCAAATTTCCTGATTCATAATTCCATTTTTAATTCTATGCTTTTTTCCTTTTCAAAAATAAAAAGTATATCTGTGTAAATTCTAAAACTGCCTGACTACCTCTCCAGCTTTGCCTGTTATATTCTCTTTACTCTGTACCACAACCACACTAGCTTGCTTTTGGTTCCTAGAACTATCCTTGCTTCCTCCCAAACTTTACCTAGTTAATATCTACTCATCCTTCAAATTACAGGGCAAAGATCATTTCTGGAGAGCCTTTCCCTGTTCCTCCAAATTAGATCAGGTTATGTATACTATATACTCCCATAGCTCCTTGTATCTTTCCTTTATTATTTTTATCTCAAATTGTAATTATATGTTTATTAGCATGATTATTTAAATGTCTGTCTCCTGTATGATACTGTAAATTTCATGAGGACTGGGACCATGTCAGTCTTAAGCATCATTGTATTTCTAATATTTAGGTACTTCCTGCACTTGGTAGGCACTCAGTAAATGTTAGAATAAGTGAATTCAGGACAGATATAAAGTATAGAGCTTATATATTAGATTGATGGAAGTCAAAGCCAGAAAGGCAGCTTGGTGCCAGATTGTGAAGGCTCTCAGTTCCATGCTGAAGTGTGAAGCCAGATTCATAAGACAGGCCAGATTGATTGTTGAGAGTAGCAAACCCCTCGGCTGGATGGGGAAGGTATGCCTGGGCTGGGTATAGAGGCTCTTGATGCCCAGATCAGGAGTTTTTGTGAAAGGATAAGAACAGGAGCTAGTTGTCAAGATTAAAAAGAAAGTAGAATAAGAGTGTATTGAGACCTTAGATATAGATTATTCATTGTAGAAGCCTACCTAAAGGAATAAATAAACCAAGTCTTTTAGAGATAGTAGGGAGACCTTTGAGTTTCAAAAGCAAGAGGAAAGGAAACAGTATAAGGATTTCATTAATTGAGAAGAATATAAAAGGCATATAATAGGAGGCAGAAATCATTTAAAAATGTGTTTGACTTGAAGGCTTTTGGAATTTAAGACTTTGTTTTCGAGTAGAGGAACTATGAAGCAGTATGCTCCATTGAACACTTCAGATGTTCCAAATATGGTTACCTCAATAAGTAACCATACCTCTTACTCCAAGCTTGATAAGAAGGAAAGAAGCTAACTATAAAAGTAGAATTTTTTTTTTTTTTGAGTCAAGAGTCTCACTCTGTCACCCAGGCTGGAGAGCAGTGGCATGATCACAGCTCACCACAGCCTCGACCTCCTTGACCTCTTGAGTAGTTGGGACTACGGGCATGTACCACCATACCCAACTAATTTTTGGATTTTTTTTTTTTTTTTTATGGAGATGAGGTCTTGCTATGGTGTCCAGGCTGGTGAAATATTTTGAGCCGAAGGGAAGAGAACTTCCTTATAAAAACCATGGCATGTCAAAGGGAATGCTTATTGTATGTTGGACAGTCTGATGCCTCCAGGGGTGGGAGCACTCAAATGATACAAGACCATGAGAGTCTTCTTTTGGATTTCTGTGACTTTATTGATTTGCAGGTATCTAAGCATAGTATATCATGTAGTTCATTGCTGTTGCTTTTATGTTTTTTATTTACCAGTGCTGTACTGATTTTTGAGTTCTTGAAACTATGTCGTTGCATGTTATGTTTACCTTGATAGATACATTTGCTTATAATTCTTTTTTACTTTGTCCTCAGTTCATATATTTTGGATGGCAGTAGTAACAGTGGCTTATCCTCAGACTCACTGGCTAAAGGCAGCACTACCGCAGTCTCCAGTAGCATGCTCAATTCATGCTCTCCGTTCATCTTGATGGATGATCTCTCACCCAAGTGACTTAAACATTTCTGATTCAGCATTTTAACTGCTGTTTCCTACATAAAACATTTAATGAAGAACACAGAGAACTTTGATCCATAATGAGGATTAAAGTTGTACAGATTTCAGCCATTCTGATGCTATTATATTTTTGGCATCTCTTTCTCTAACATGCAATTTCACGAGTGTAGTGACCTTACTAACGTCTGTTTTTGCAGATTTTATTTTGGATTTAGTGACTAAATCTCAAATACTCATTTTTGATTGATTTAGAGGATTTTTTTTTTCTTAGCACCTCAAAGAGCACTATTTTCGAGTCTATACATTTTAGGAAGGCACTGATGTGTATTTTCTATATTGTTTTTTTTCCTCCAGCAGTGATATGACAGAGTTGATCAGAAATACTCTTGCTTGAGAGATTTTTTTTTGTTCTCTGCTAACTACCTAGTTTCAAGTCTCTTTATTTCATAATAACATACAATTTGCTTTTGATTATGTTAAATTTTTATTTTTCTGCCACAGCTTGAAATACATTATTTTGTTTGCCTTTCCTGTTTGAGCTGCTTACGCCATTTCTCACAGAGGGGAAGAAACATGTAGTTGCTTTCATTACTACCCCTATTGCTTCTTTGCTGTTGGAGTGTGTGAAGTGAGGATTGATTTTAGTGCTGATAATGTAAATGGACTTACGGGATGCCTGGATTAGTCACTACAGGTTCTTATGACTTTGCTACCACAATTGATATTATTCTCCCCAAACCTGTTACCCTAAGGAATATATAAACTATTGTTGATATTCCTAGGTGGTGTTTTCAAGGAGAAGAAATTCCTGCCTTGACCAGATGTGTGGAACATCTTCAAATGAATGAATAATGCTATTTACACGCAAACCACTGTGCACAAAAGCATCCATGGAGCTGTCAGTGTCTCGGGTGGTATTATGAGGCCTTAGGTGCCTTGGGGTACATTGTCTGCTGTAAGGGATGTATATCATAAGGTGGGGTCGAAGAGGGGCCTTTATGTGTGTGATTGTCACATACTGTTTCGGTTGCTGCTTTTTTTCTGGTTCCTTTTTGTCATTGAATTTGTTTTGTCGTGTGGTGATTGGTGTTTTGGTTATTGTGTTGCCACCAGAATCGGAATCCAGTTCTTGTTCATATAGCCTTATAGTAAAGGCAGTTTAATATCTATGAGAAAGCTTTTAGGAGCTGAAAAAGTCACTGTTATTGTGCATTCTGCTTTTAAGAAGCTGTTTGAGCTATGAACAGTGTACGTGCTGTAAGTGTGAGGTGCCATAAGTTATTTAATTTTTAAAAGAGGAAACTCTTGAGTGAGCTATTTAAGAAATTTAAGTGTAATTTATTCTTATGTTATTTATTATTTATAACTATGTAAAATGTCGTGATAGATTTCTTTTATCGTTTAGACATTGTGGTTGGATTGTCTATATTTAATATGCAGATTTGCCTGCTAGGATGATGATATTCCATTTTTAAACGAATGTAAGAAATGAAAACAACTGCATTTGTGTCTTTTGAAGGCAAAGATCCTTGGATTTTAAAGGAAGATGATGTGCTTTGAAGGCACTCACAGGCTAGTAATAGCATATGGCTTGGAGGGAAACCCATTCTCTTTCAATTACAAGAGAGCATCACTTAGCTTGCAGTAGTTGTGTTACAGCATCAGTTGTGTCCTTTATTTTACATTGTAATCATGACAGCCATTTATGGCTTTATTTCTGGTATTGCTCTCACCTGTGCAAAGCCCATAATCCTTCAAACTTAACATAAATTTATCTATTATGAAGCTTGTCCCCTACTATGCCATTATAAAGAAAAAAATTTTTGATGGTATTCAGCATATCTATTCTGTTTGTAAAAGATCCATGTGAAAATAGTTCTGCCTCTATAATGATAATAGATGGTTTTATATTTATCCATCTTCACTCTTCTGTCTTCTTTGCCTTAAGGGGACACTTTTGTCCATCATCTTTGGGCTCTGGTTTAGGATTGTTAAGAAATAACTTTGAAATGTGATGTTGACGTTTAAATTTATTTTTGAAATTCAGTGGTGGGGGTAGAACTGGGTCTGAAAATTGAAATTATTCTGATGGTGTGAGAACTAGGAGGCAAGATGATTCACTTTATTATTTAAACTAAGGTTCATTTTTAGTTTTTGTTGTTTAAATGGACTAGAAAGTTAAGTTTGTGCAGGGATTGTTTTGAAATAAATAAAAGAGATATGCTAACCCACAGATGAGCTTTGTTGACAGTACCCCCTTTATTTTTATATAAAGTCTAATATTTGAAAAGTGATCATTGTTATAAAGTAAGATTCTCTCTTCCTATTCTAATATTATATATTTCAGGCTTCTATTTGAAATCAAGAATAAGAGTTGCTATGATAAAATCCTAGATGCTGTTTTTGCTTGATTGACTTATATAATCACTGTGTTTCATGATAACTGCTTTTGGAATAATAGGAAGTTTTGTGAAATGCTGGCCTTGTGTATATCTTAGAATACAAATTTAATAAAGTGTGCATACATGCATAAAACTTAGTAATGTTTTTAAAGTCTATCTTTTATTCTCATATTTTCTGGCTCCATATCTCAGTAGTTCATTTTCTGTATCTAATTGCAGGTCAAGTTTTGAATAAAAGCATATCAGAGCACAAAAGAACTAATAACTATATTGAAGTTTGGGCTGTTCCCCAAAACAAAGAGAAACCTCTCCACATAATCTGACATTTTAAGAGTATTTTGTAGAATTTGAACATTTAGAAGGTTCTTGCTAGGGTCACACATCTTTCTTGTTTTCATTTTATTATATATAATTTTTTAATTGAGAAAGATTTATTAAAGGAAAGATACGTCGTGAAGGGCACAATGGGCAGTACACCAGCAAGAGTGTCTGCTGCCTATTTTTTTTTATATATAAACCTCTATAAATTATTTTTAGAATAAGATGGAGAGTGAATAAACAGGCAAAAAAAGCCTTTTATGCATGACTCAGGTTATCAATTTTTTTAAAAAACCGAGGCCTCACTCTTGCCCAGGCTGGAGTATAGTGGCTTGATCATGGTTCACTGCAGCCTCTACCTCCTGGGCACAGGCTTCCTTCTGCCTCAGTCTCCCGAATAGCTGGGACTACAGGTGTGTGCCATCATGCCCAGCTAAGTATTTTTTATTTTTATTTTTAAAGACAAGGTCTTGCTATGTTGCCCAGGTTGGTCTGGAACTCCAGGGCTCAAGCAATTCTCTCACCTCAGCCTCCCAAAGTGCCGGGATTATAGGTGTGAGCCATCCTGCCCAGCCAGGTTATCAATTTTATTTTTAGCTTGTAGAAAATATATAGACTACTTTATTTTTAAAAGACTTTACATTTTGAAACAATTTGAAACTTGCAAAAATAGTCTAAAGAATGCCCATATATCCTTCATCCAGGTCCCCCAATTGTTAGCATTTTGCCACATTTGTGCTTGTTTGTTCTCTCTCTCTCTCTCTCTCCCTCCCTCCCTCTCCCTCCCCCCTGTGTGTGTGTGTGTGTGTGTGTGTGTGTGTGTGAATACACATGCACATTTTTTTCTGAGTCATCTGAGAATGAGTTGCAGATACGATACCCCATTGCCCTTATATGCTTCAATGTACATTTCCTAAAGACAAAGATATTCTACATAATCACATTACAACTATCAAAATTAGGAAATTAGTTTTGATACAAAACTGCTATCTAATATACAGGCCCATCCAGATTTTGCCTATGGTTCCAAAAATGCTATTTTTAGTAGAAGGGGAATAAAGGCATTTTTTTCTTCTGGTCCAGGATTCAATCCGGGCATGACATGTCCTAAGTCTTCCTCAATCTAGAAGTCCCTCAGTCTTTCCAAAAATTCAATCTTCATATTTTTGAAAAGTGCTGACCAGTTATTTTAAAAAATGTCTCTGAATTTGGGTTTGACTTTTGTGTCCTTGTGATTAAATTCACGTTATGCATTTTGGGCAGAAATACCACGAAAGTCGTGCTGCATTCTCAATGTATAATTTCAGGAGGCACGTGGTGTCACTTTGTCCTGTTACTAGTGATGGTAACCCTGATCCTTTGGTTAAGGTGGTGTCTACTGTATTACCCCACTGTACAGTTAATTTTTTCCCATTGAAATTAAAATATTTTGTTTGGAGATGCTTTGAGGTTATATAAATATCCTGTTCCCTCATAAAAATTTCACCCACTAGTTTTAGTATTCACTGATTTTTCTTGCTGGATGGTGACTACTTCCATCATTCCTTCTGAATTTATTAGTTGACATTCTACTATAAAGAAGAATTGTCCCTTCTCCCCCATTTATTTGCATCAGTGTGGACTCATGGACTCCTGTTTTATATGGTCAGTGGGTTTTGATCCATTCCCATGATTATTTTGCTATTTAAATTGTCTCAGATTTGGACAGCAAGGACTCTTCCAAGCTCACTCCTGTATCCTTTGGACAAATCCCTATCAGTTTTTGAGCAGTTTTAAATTCTTGGGCACAACATATCCCAGGTTCATACAGCAGTATTTAAAAACCAAGATAGGATCGCTGGGTATATCATTGCTACTGGGGCATCATGTTTAAAGGCTTTATCAGAGAAAACACATGTATATGTACACCCTGTAAATGTATAATATGCACACACATATCTATATATTTATCAAAAATTATGAGTTCAAGCCATACCTCTGATTCCCACTCACCACCACAGGCTTCATCCCAGTGTCTATCAGTATACTTACTCCTTTCTCCTGTATGTGACGAATTTCTTACCCTGTCAGCCACCACCCTGACTGCCCCCTCAGCCCCAACCATCTCCTTGGCTCTGACTCTGTTGCCCTGCCAGCCCTGGCTGCCTCAACAGAATGAAAGGAAAAGGATCAGAATACACAAGTTTTGAATAATTCTGGTACATACCCACTCCAACCATCACCTCCAAGCTCCTTTTCCTCTGTGTTTAACTGTACACAACTTGGGAATTTCTTATATTCATCAATTTAACAAATATTTATTGAGCCCTGTGCTGGGAACTGTAAATGCAGATTATGTTCATGCCTTCCAAGAGACCAGTGGGGTGAATAAACAGAAGTGCAGTGACCATTAGAAGCACTGGTTAGAGTGTGCTGGGAAGCACAAAGGGAGTGCACCCCCCCATAACCTGGACTGTGGTTCTGGAATGCTTCCCAGAAGAGGTAATGCTGAAGCAGAATCTTGAAGAACAAACTTAGGATGGAGGTAGGAGCCAGGTAAAGGGAATAGGATACAGGCAAGAAGAGACTAAAGCTCCATTACAGAAAGATGAGTAATTTGCTAATGTAGGAAATGAGGCTGGAGAGGGAAACAGAGGCCTCATGTGGCCTTTTGGGTTTTGGGAGTCTTGAGCTTATGTAGGTGGAAGCTATGGGTGTAGACATAAGCAGAGACATCATGTAGACAAGGTTAGGGACAAAATACTGCTTCCAACATTTAAGAAGCAGACAGAAGAAGAAATGGGGTTGCCTAGAGAAAGCAGCTGACAACATTAATGATGCTAAGGAGGGAGTGGTCTACAGGGTCCATTGAAATGAAGACTAAAAATGTCCCATTGGCTTTGAAAATTAGGAGGTCCCTTTAAGACACTCAGTCCTTTTAGTGAGGTGGAAAGGTAAAAGTTGAATTGCGGTGGCTTGAATAAATGGGATTAGGAAGTAGAAACAAGAAATATATGCCATAGCCTATGTCCAACATCTTCCAAGATTCTCTTTCCCCTTCTTTTCCTTCCAACCCTCACTCATTCACAATGCAAACTCTTTTTGCTCCTTGTGTATCCTCAGTGGTTAGCACTGTATCTGAAATAGAATACTCACTCAATAAAATTGTGTTGAACAATAACCTCACACTCCAACCCCTAGAGGGAGCTGAAAGAAAGTCACTCTAGCCTCTGGAGCGAGCTGAAAGAAAGTCACTAATCTCTGCAGGGAGCTGAAAGAAAGTCACTCTAGCCTCTAGAGGGAGCTGAAAGAAAGTCACTACCCTATAGAGGTAGCTGAAAGAAAGTCATTCCAACCTATAGAGGAAGCTGAAAGAAAAAATCACAGGGGAGTGTTACCCTATAGGAGAAGCTGAAAGAAAATATCCGAGAAAGTGTTAACCATATACTCTCACCCCTAGGAGGAGCATCAAGCTTCTTGTCTTCCAGATCTTTCTGAGGAAAAATTGCAGGAGGAGCCTTCATCAAGGAGAACCACCCCTTGGTAATCTTTATTAATTTATACATAATATGTACTTTCTATTTGTGGCTTGTGACATTAATATCCCATTCAGGATAGTGATATGAAGTTTTCTATTAGAATAAATTTGGCAAATAGTATTTTTAAATACATCTATTTAAAAAATAAATATAGCAAAGGAAAAGTGAGTTAATTTAAAGAAATAGCTTGAGCAAGCAGTAGTATGAGTGATAGATTTCTAGATATGGTTAAAATTTTAAAAGTAATAAGACTGGGGCTGGGTACGGTGGCTCACACCTGTAATTCCAGCACTTTGGGAGGCCAAGGCGAGAGGATTGCCTGAGCCCGGGAGTTCCAGACCAGCCTGGGCAACATGGTGAGACCTCATCTCTACAATAAATCAAGAAAAATTAGCTGGGTGTGGTGGTGCACACCTGTAGTTCCAGCTACTTGGAAGGCTGAGGAGGAAGGATTGCCTGAGCCCAGCAGGTTGAGGCTGCCATGGCTGTGAGTGTGCCACTGCACTCCAACCTGGGCAACAGAGTGAGACTCTGACTCAAAAAAATAATAATAAGACTGGGCATGGTGGCTCATGCCTGTAATCCCAGCACTTAGAGGACAGCCTGAGCCCGGGAATTCGAGACCAGCCTGGGTAGCATGGTAAAACCTTGTCTGTGCAAAAAATGAAAAATCAGCCAGGTGTGGTGGTGCACACCTGTAGTCCTAGCTACTTGGGGGGGCTGAGGCAGAAGGATCACCTGAGCCCAGCAGGTTGAGGCTGCAGTAGCTGTTATTGTGCCACTGCACTCTAACCTGAGTGACGAAGTGAGACTGATTCAAAAAAACCAAAAATGTCATAAGAACTTTAGACCTAGGAAAGTGTTGGGTCAGTGATGTGTGAAACTGCCAGTATGAAGATTAAAGCTGTTTAATCTATGTGGAATGCTCTTTTGGGGTCTTTGGATTCTCTCTTTTGAGTCTTCACTTTGTTCTGTGAAATATGGCAAGAGAGGTCTGGTACCTCTTCTTTAGCTTCTGGGGGAACTTAGGTGTGACTGAGGGAAAAGGGGCCTACACAGCACTTCAGACCTGGTTTGCTTTCCTATTTCTTCTGAATAAAGGAGTGATTAGAACTCCAGAGCTAAGGTCAGAATGTATGTAGCCCTCAGAGAAAGAAGCTTCTACTCTGAGTCACTGAACCCTGCCTACTTTGGACAAAAGGATTTTTGATGAGACTCCTCTGGTGACTACACTGAAGCTGGGGTGAAAGCCCTAGCTAGTGAAGTGTTTCTTTGAATCTGTCCTCTAAGCATTCATCTCT